AACCTAGAAAAGGAAAATAGCAAAGAAAACACAGTATTAAGTTGTCCGCTCTGGTTTTTACAGCTGGCGGCTCAATCTAATAATCTGGAATAAAGGGGAAATAATAGCAAATTTTAGTAGCAAAGACTGCTTGTCGTCAAGATTCTTCAAAGTATTGTCATGGATCTGTGTTTAGAGAAAAGATAGGAAGCATTTAATAACTTTTTAGAAGAAGTACAATGAAGCCAGAGGCAAACATCCTACAGCTGACGTCATCCGCCAGCATGTGATGCAGTATTTACAAGTCCAAGTTTTATCTACAGAGCAGCTGGCATAAACCTCTACAGATTTCCTCAGTGGTAATATTGCTTTCCACACAGATGGTATGGGTGGGATATTTTTCCTTGCAGTTTGCTTTTGGCCCAGAAAAGAAAGGCCTTTTTCAACACAGTGGTAAAAGACTGGACCTTAACACCGGGATAATCAGTTTCATATCCTAGTCCCACCAATAATGAACTGGGTATCTGATCCATCTCACTGAGCTCCAGATTAGTTTTTAAAAAGGGAAAGGATAGGAAAAATAAAACCCTGTCCTATAAATGTAAAGAGGCTTTTTTAACATGCTCTATCCAAAGGACATTAAATGTATGAAAAGAAGAACTTTGGTAATATTGATAGAATAATAATAAGTATCATTAGATTCTAAAAATCTATTCATACAATGAATAAAAGAAGTTATGTACACTTGAAATCAGATTATGCAGCTTTTTGTATTCTTCAAAAACTGCAAGAATTCCATTAGAAAGTATTCGACTCCCAAATATTGAGGGCAACCCTGAGGCAACCTTCTAGACCTTTCTACATATTTCACAATCTGCTACTATCTCTAAAGTAAAAGCTCCCAGCACACTTCTCACATTTCCTGCTGTTACAAGACCCCTCTCCTGTTTCCTGTTGATAAATTTTAAGAGCTGGTTCAATATCCTCAGGAAAAGAAATAGCTCATTGTGTACCCTGGGGAACTCGGGTCTACCAGGAAAGGCCATGTTCCTCATTTAACATTTCCCCCCAGTTTCTTCAGAATTACCTAAACACACAAGAGCCTAGAAGAAAAAAAGTTTTTCTCATGTTGGAAAACCCATTCACGGGGTGCTACCCTGTCTGATTCTCGACGGAAAATTGTTCCCAGAAAGTCATATTATGATTATTGCCTATTCTTAAAATTTAAAAAAAAAAAAGTTTGTGGAGTGAATGCTGTGCCATCCTCCTTTCTGTTCTTCTGAAATACTTGCTCATATCGTGATCAATACTGTGGATTTTATTAGGTAGATGAGGAGGTTGAGGGCAAAGATGGAGAGGAATCAGCTCAAGAATAACAAATGTCAGGGCATCCCTGGTGGCGCAGTGGTTGGGAGTCCGCCTGCCGACGCAGGGGACACGGGTTCGGGCCCCGGTTTGGGAAGATCCCACATGCCGCAGAGTGGCTGGGCCCGTGAGCCATGGCCACTGAGCCTGGGCGTCCGGAGCCTGTGCTGTGCAAGGGGGGAGGCCACAACCGTGAGAGGCCCGCGTACCGCAAAAAACGTCAGATACGTGCTGTTATTTTTCCTTCCTCACCATCTAAAGTGACACTTTTCCTTAGGCTGCAGATCTGGAGAGAAAACACTAATCATCACCCACTAACCAGGCAGCTAGACTTGTTAAAGCAATGACATTTAAAGAGACACTCGTCATCCAGCCCTGAACTAGTCTGCAGTCACGTAAGATGCCAGGGGTCAAAACTGAATGTGTGCCACCTCAATTTTACTTAGTTCACAGAACCATTTGACTTTCTCAGATTAACCATATTTTCTTGCTGCAGTAACAAGGCTTAAAGAACACTTAATTGCTTAACTAAAGGTCTAATCCATGTCTCTCGTTATGTGCTTATTATATCAACCACGTTCATTAAATACCTGCACTCATCATGGAAAATATTTAGTAACGTCCACAGGCCCCCAGTGTAGGGGCCTCTCTATAATTTGTTCACGAATATAGGTCTCTGAAGAAGATTGTTTATGCTTTGCTTTCGCTTCCCTACTTTGAAACACTAAATCCCTCCTCTGCTTTTCTACATATTTTTAACATCCCTTACATTTTACATTGCAATGTAGATTATGAAACTAATGCCACCTGTACCTCATTTCAGCCAACAAGAACACCCTGAGGAAACTGTAAATATGTCTACTTTATACTTGATGAAATAAGTTTTGTGAAGTAAAGGGATTTGCCAGATAATAAATTACCATACGGGATCTAAAACTTCATTTTATGGCCACAAATGCAGTTCTTTGTGCAGTACACAATAAATCGATGCAAAATTTGTTCAATGCTGAAGAAATTTCCTAACTAATTAACAGAAAATTGAAGGGAAATTCTTCAGGAAGAAATCTACAAGCAACGATTGATAAGTGACACAGTCTTACAGGAATAAATACAAACATCTCCCCTTTATCATGTGTTTGCTAATTCAATGTCATTTCACCATGAGATAGATGTTTACTGAAAATAAAACTGAAGCATCCTAGTTTCCACTGTTGAAAAACAAAGAATGATAATAGATTATCCTTTCTAGTGTTAAACCCCTAAAATTGATTTATCTCTAAGTCGATGAAGTCAGCGGCTGTGATGGTGTTATTTGCGATGATTTCTGTTATCTCCGTGCATATTGTCCTGAGCTAGGGGCACCTGCACAGAAGCCCAGCTGTGTATGCAGATGTCATAGTGTCTCTTTCACTTGCCATGACCTGATTGGATGACTCACCCTATCACAATTCAGTTGACTCATCTTTAGCCACACATTGATGTTATAAACGTGCCTCAAAAGATTTAAAATTTAACATGTTACAACCATCCTCTTGAAGACAGCATGCCTCTCCAAGACTTCTCATTTTTCTCAAATAACGAAATAATCAGTACTCTTGTAGAGTCCCCACAAACTCTCAATAAGGCACACGCAACCACAACACTGATTGCTCTCACATTTTGAAGAGCATCTTTACGTTGGAATTTTTCCCCAAATCACAAGTCCATTCTAAAACCACCAACACTTTCCATTATTTACATTTATTATTATCAAATCTTCAGTACCTGGAAGGTATAAACAGGGATTAAATGGAAGGAAAAGGAACAGAAACCACACTAGGCCAGGCGCACATAAAGAACTTGACTTTTGTTCTGCAGAGCAGAAATCTTCCACTTCTCTGAAGGGAGCCTGCAGTTGCAGTTGTAGCTGGAGAACCATTGGCCTCCATGTCCGGCTCAGAGAGGCTCGTGGAGCCTCTGCAGCTTCACCGTGGCCGCAGCTCTTTCACATGCGCATCGCCTCAACTCCCTGCAGTCCTTGGAGAAAGCCTTTCCATTGAGGATGGTCACACAGTCCCTACTTCTTAAGCTGGTGAAATCTATTATAATCTCAAACCTCAAAAAAGAAAAAAAAAGCTCCTTTTATTATAGTTTACTTCTAAAATACAAAAGTACACAGGGAGTGTCCTAAGCTTGATAAAATTATAAAATAGACACCCATTATGAGTCTACTGGAAAGATGGGGTCACCAGACTCTTTCCTCTCAGCCCCTCAGTTTCCATACGCATTCTTAGAAGCATCAGCTCACCCAAAACAACAAAAACTATTTCTAACTAAAATTAAAATACACGTTATAATCCAATTTATCATTCGATTTTACTGCCATCTGAAAAATTATCTACCTTCTCTGTGACTCAGTTTATTTAACTGTAAAAAATAGTCACATTGAATATGTACTATCTCCTGGAAAAATAAATCCTATATAGGTATATAGAAAGGTGTCTGCTCAAACAAGGCTTTAAACTGTAATATATTTTGATATAGATATTACATTTACCGATCTCAAACAATATACCATACACATGCCTATCTAAATGCTCATATAAGTAAAACTAATTTTTGATAATATTACTGTTTATATTGTGAGTAAATCTATTCTCAGAGACTGTATTTTGAAAGATGTGCTCCCCATTTCACTGCACAGAAAGCCAAGAAATCTGAGGTCTTATACTGTCTCTGGGTATTGACAAGTTGTAGAGTTGTGCGACCTTAGGCAGGTCACCCATTACAACGTGGGCTTCAGTTCATTCACCCATAACAGAGCCCTCTCTCTCCCTCCCTCTCTCTCAGAGAATCCCGGTCTGTCTCTCCCACTGGTTTATGAGCCATTCTGACAGTAAGTACTATGTTTTATACACCTTTGGAAGTCCTCCTACAAACACAGTGATAGTTTCATTTATATTTGTCACTCAGGCAAAAACTCTCTGTTAAATGCCTTTCCCATGAAATGTGCTGAAGGCTTACAGTTCATGGGAGTAAGGGGCTCCGTCCATCCACAGCCAGGCCTTGTCATTGCCATTGCGGGATAGCCCTGTCCAATAAGAGTAGAAAAACTCAGAGTAGCTCTGAGGCATGGCAAACTCCTGTGAAAGGCACACAAGAAAACACTTAGCTTTAGAATTGTTATATACATACAGAGATGTGTAGTGCTGGCCCTCACTTTTAATATGAGAACATACATGATAGTACATTCAAGAAAAATAGTGTCCATGCTGAGGTCAGTTAATTTGTCCAAGTTAAAGAATTATTTTGTCTTAATAAGCATAGACTATATGCTGATGTTCCGAAACCAAGAATCACATCAACCAAGATTTATAAATGACCCATTATTTTCAAGTCACAGGATTAAACAAGATTGATATAAAAAATATGGGATGTAGAGATGTGGAGTGACTCTGGAAACTGGAAGAATCTGGAAGGAAAAGTGCAGGAATGGGAAGTAATCTTCATGAAGTCATGTGAAAAGGACTGACCAGGAACGAGAAAAGAATAATGAATATACTTTAATGCAAAGCGGGGTAAAAGAAAAATTTATAAGGCTGATTTATGTCTCAGACTAAGAAGGGAAAGCAGAGAAATGTTTCATATACATGCATATACATTTTTGTGTTTTTACATGTATGTAATTCTTTTTCTACTATCCATATTGAAAAATGTTTAAAGTTATTTATTTCCTTCTATATCATCTCACTCTTTAACACAGAAATTATCTAAATCTTTTATCATTATCCATTGTTATACCTTCCTTTTCCACGATACTACTATGAGTTCCTTAAGGACGTATACTTTGTTTTATTCATTTTCACATCCTCAATCCCTTGGATAATTAATGGCACATATTGGTTCAATAAAAGATTACTGGAAATATAAATGAAACTATCACTAAGTGATAGTTACAGTATAGGCATATCAAAGAAACCGTAGTTGAAAATATTGCTTCCAACTGAATGGTGGCCCCTTCACATTAAAAGTTCTATAAAGAAATCATACGAAAGTGACAAATATATGCAAATACATGCAGTGCATAAGATAAAATTACTATGTAACTTTCATAATAATACTTCTAACCACTGCATCTAGTATACTTCAGTGGTATATCTGAATCCTCAGTTTGTGCTGGAGGTGGAGGAAACAGAGAATAAAAAAAATTAAGAGGTTTTATGTCAGGATACATTGGCTTAGTCAAATAGATCGCCTCTTTTTCTGCCTAAATTGAGACATCAAGAGCCACCTAGAGGGGTGGAATAGGGAGGGTGGGAAGGAGGGAGACCCAAGAGGGAGGAGGTATGGGGATATATGTATATGTATAGCTGATTCACTTTGTTATACAGCAGAAACTAACACACCACTGTAGAGCAATTATACTCCAATAAAGATGTTAAAAAAAAAAAGAAAGGATGAAAAAGATTATCTTAGAGGTTTGAGAGAGATTGCAGAGTTTCATTCATCACAGATTTCAGGAAGTGGATAGGAATTAAGATGTAACTAGAAAGATGTTAAGAGTTTGCACGTTAGCAGGGTATTAATTTCAATTAAATAACTCTTTGTTGATAAACTACTCTGTGCCAAGACGTCTGCTAAAACAATGATAAATAAATAATGGTCATACCGCTTGAGGAATTAAATCCAAAGGCTATAGATGCAGCCAGTATGGAGAACAGTATGGAGGTTCCTTAAAAAACTAAAAATAGAACTACCATACGATCCAGCAATCCCACTACTGGGCATATACCCTGAGAAAACCATAATTCAAAAAGACTCATGTACCACAGTGTTCATTGCTGCACTATTTACAAGAGCCAGGACATGGAAGCTACCTAAGTGTCCATTGACAGATGAATGGATAAAGAAGATGTGGCACATATATACAATGGAATATTACTCAGCCATAAAAAGAAACGAAATTGAACTATTTGTAGTGAGGTGGATGGACCTAGAGTCTGTCCTACAGAGTGAAGTAAGTCAGAAGGAGAAAAACAAATACCGTATGCTAACACATATATATGAAATCTAAAAAAAAAAAAAAAATGGTTCTGAAGAACCTAGGGGCAGGACAGGAATAAAGACGCAGATGTAGAGAATGGACTTGAGGACACAGGGAGGGGGAAAGGTAAACTGGGACGAAGTAAGAGAATGGCATGGACATATATACTACCAAGTGGAAAGTGGATAGCTAGTGGGAAGCAGCCGCATAGCACAGGGAGATCAGCTCGGTGCGTTGTGACCACCTAGAGGAGTGGGAAAGGGAGGGCGGGAGGGAGACCCAAGAGGGAGGAGGTATGGGGATATATGTATATGTATAGCTGATTCACTTTGTTATAAAGCAGAAACTAACACACCATTGTAAAGCAATTATACTCCAATAAAGATGTTTAAAAAAAAAAATCCAAAGACAATAATAATGTAAGAGAAAAGGGAACAATCACGCCATTTTAATAGTGAAATTTAATTGCATGTACTTACTCAATATATGCCAATTTCATTTTCATATTTGCCTTGACCAGTCTATGTTAGGGTGTAAACTTCTGGAAGCCTAGATATTTATTTGCAGATTATGGCAATGATTTAATTAAATGTTTTTCAATCAAAAGTTTTGTCACTTTCACATGGAAAGACAGGAAGTGCTATTTTCATGTCTCTGACGGGGCATCAATATCGTTCCCTTCCTACCCAAACCAAAAGAGGTTAAGAAATTAAGACCTCCTTCATTTGATTCCTGACTGATGGGGAACTTGAAGATCTTGTTTCTAAGGGGTGGATACTTGTGGAGATCACTCCACAAATGATGACCTCAGGGGATCATTCAAAGCAATAGAAATAAGACTTAGGCCTTGAGTGCAATAAATAGGAGAGTCTGTGGGCTTTGACTCCTGAGAATCTTTTAAAGATTTCTTTCTGAGAGTACTTCAAACACTGACCAAGCCTCAGAACCTTACCAGCACTTCCTGTGTATTAATCTTCAGCATGGTCGAGTTCTCAGCAATGCAGAAATATTCACAACCCTGCCAACTCTTGCTTTCTTCATAGAACTGGTAGCATTTGTCCCCATGCCACTTCCATTTTTCTGGGCAAGGGCTGCATCTGTGTTCTTGAAAAGAAACCAAATTTAATGTTAACTTCTACCCAGGTCTGTTGTTTTTGTTCTCTTGAAATTACATAATATTTGATGACGCAAGAAAGAATTGATTCCCTAGCTTTTAGATATTTACTTGCCCAATGATAATTACAAATATTTACTGAACACCCACTATATGCCAGGAATTATAATGGGGTATACAATGGGAATTAAAATAGACACTACCTGCTTTTATGGACAATGGAAACTAGTAATGAATGATTGGAACTTCAGTGTTCCTTGCCCCGTGTGATTCAGCATACAGAGAGAATACTCAATTTCATAAAGAACTTTTCATCTGGTCAAAAACTCAATATGCATTGGATTTGGGAAACCATTGAAGTTTCTATAATTTTCTTCCTCAAAATCCACTTATATGGTAGTAAAAGGATTTTTTAATGAAATATATATCAATAAGATCTGGATTCTTTTTTCTTTCTTTTTTTTTTTTTTTTGTGCGGTACGTGGGCCCCTCACTGTTGTGGCCTCTCCCGTTGCGGAGCACAGGCTCCGGACGCGCAGGCTCAGCAGCCATGGCTCACGGGCCCAGCCGCTCCGCAGCATGTGGGATCTTCCCAGATGGGGAAACGAACCCGTGTCCCCTGCATCAGCAGGCGGACTCGCAACCACTGCACCACCAGGGAAGCCCTGGATTATTTTTTCATTCAAAGCATAGGTGAATAAAATTTTAGAAGAAAATCACATAAATACAATACTAAGCCAAGCATGAGTTAAGATGGTAAATCTCCATGTGTCAGAAATTGAAATGGTCATCAAAGTCAGAGAAATAAGTGCACAAGTCAAGGGTGAGATGGACTGAGTGCGTCATGATTGTAAATACAGGAACTAGGCCCTGAGAACCATGGTCTTATCACCTATGTGGATACATGGCCTTGGGCCTTTGAGAGTTGGGCACCTGTATCCACATCCCTTGTCGGTGTATGGTGAGATGGGAACTCAATGATTCCACAAAAATGTCTTTATTTTAAAAGCAATCCAGTGTCAAAATGTTAACATGTGAAAATCTGAGTGGTCAATACACAGATGGATGTTACATTATTGTTCGCATTTTTCTGACTGTTTAAAATATTTCATAAGGTAAAATGAGGTTTTAAATAAATCAATAATTTGGGAGATTTGCTTTGAAAGTCGGGTTATATCTCTGGCCCAGACCTTTTTCCTTATATATCAAACTGCCTACTCATATCACCACACACATCTAAGGGATATTTCAAAGTCAACATGCTCAAAACAGCATCCCTGTTTCCTAACCTCCCCCCTCATGACCACAGAATTCTTCCCCATTTCTGCTTTGCCCCAGAACTCTGGAGTTATCTTTGACTCCTTTATCTCCCTCATACCCCTCACACCCCACTTTATTACATCATGCATTCATCTCCACCAATAATATCCTAGCTTGAGGAACCATTCCCTCTTTCCTGGATTATTGCAATAGTCATCTCTTATGTGATTTCTCTGTCTCTATCCTTCCTACCCTCTCCCAGTCTATTTTCAACATATGTGTAGAATGAGCCTTTAAAAACTCACGTCAGACATGTACTTCTGCTCAGGGTCCTGAAATGAATCTTTCTTTTGCTCAAAATAGAAGCCAAACCCCTTACAATGTCCCTTAATGCCATGAATAATCTGGTAGGTGTGTTAATTATCTTGATCTTGATAATCACTGCATAATGTATGTGTATATCAACTCATCATGTAGTATACTTTAAATATATATAATTATATTTGTCAATTATTCCTCAATAAAGTTAAAGAAGAATAAAGAAAATAAATAAAATTATGACCAGTGAGATCATTAGTCGTGTA